TGATGTAAGTAGGGTTTAGGGTTTAGGGTTTAGGGTTTAGGGTTTAGGGTTTGAGGGGTAGTTGTGGCTCGGACGTGAAAAACTGGGTCTGTAACACTTTCTCGCAGGGTTTAGGGTTTAGGGTTTAGGGTTTAGGGTTTAGGTGTTTCAGTGCGAATATATCCTCAGGGAGTCTTTATCTTTGCAGCAACCAGGATTTAGGGTTTAGGGTTTAGGGTTTAGGGTTTAGGGTTTGTGTGGTTGCAGGAGGGTTTGGGGGGAGCGCTGATGCTGCACCTGGTGAATGCCGTATCAGGCGAAATAGCGCATCAGCAGGTGCTGCCTGCGGGGGCCTCAAAACCTCTCCTTGTTGCAGTGCGTTCGAGGGTTTAGGGTTTAGGGTTTAGGGTTTAGGGTTTAGGGTTTAGGGTTTAGGGTTTGGGGTTTTGTAGGTTGCGAGGGTTTAGCTCGGGGGCTGTTTGTACTCCTTCGCAAGGGTTTGACGACGTACGCATCTGCTCCACTGGCCGAGGGTTTACGCAGGGTTTAGGGTTTAGGGTTTAGGGTTTAGGGTTTAGGGTTTAGGGTTTGTGGTTTCAGGTGTGCGAGGACTCGGTGTATGTACACTTTTGGAATATCTTTGCGGCGCGGTTTGAGCTGTTGGTGGTTGCGCTGACAGAGGACAGACCAGACCCAGGTAAACCCTAAACCCTAAACCCTAAACCCTAAACCCTAAACCCTAGCTGGATGAAGATGCATGATATATATATATTCGTAGCATTGAGGGTTTGGTGTATTTCTAGGGTTTAGAACATTGATATTCCTTGAGTGTTTCCCGTTTCCCCTCTAGGGTTTAGGGTTTAGGGTTTAGGGTTTAGGGTTTAGGGTTTGCGTGTAGGTCCCCTGGGTTTGATATTTCCCTCAGCCCGGCGAAACCCTCATAAATCAGGGTTTGGGTTGGGGCGGCCTGCAGCAGAGTCGAGGGTTTTTGTTTTTTCTTCGGGTGTATCTGCAGCTGCTCTCACAGCAACCACCCAGGGAATAACACCGAGGGCTTTGATACTTGTATGCTTATGAATTAGGGTTTAGGGTTTAGG